AGTATTAAAAGACAAGAGGCACTTTCTGTGGAAAGCTATTCAAGTGGAAATTAGTTGCCAAATTTCCCCATGTAAACAAAACCCAAATGAGGTGGTGTAAGAAGATATTGTAGCAAGGGGGAAACTAGTAATTAGAAGAAACTTTGCAGATGAAAAGATGATTTAATACTGAACCAGTTTCTTAAGAAGACTAGAACCAAGGATGCTCAAAATCAGGACTGCAGGCTACCTTTGGAGGAGATGGAATTTCACCTACCTGAAGGCAGGGAGCTGGCCAGCTGACTTTTTGCAAAGCATCCATTCTGTTCTAACAAAGAGGCAGGTCAGGATTTCATTCTGAAGATAGAGGGGTACGGGGACTACTTGGAGGTATCTCCTTCAACTGCTCCCCATAAAATCTAGAGGGTCCCAGACTTTCAGAGTTAGAAATTCCCAGAAGTCTGCATAGCCTGCCACCAGGCTTTGTGCCACTCACTGACTCTTTAGTCCTGACTCTGGCCCCAGGACAACTCTAGGCTGTGCAGACTGCGGGGCATTGATGTTTTGTTTAACAGTGTTTAACAGCTGACTCTCGTGAAAAAAGTACCCTGAGTTCTAGTGTTTGCCGATCTCCATGTGTGAATATTCCCATCATGGTTGATTTCAAGCTACCAACGTGCTGAATGGGGAGTTGGGAAGAGATACATTGGCTCTTAATGAATTAGCGTAAGCCAGCTCCCGCACGCCACCAGGCCTGGGAATCTTCTACTGTTGCAGAGTGCCCTTTCTCTCCTCAGAGACTTTCAACTCCCGGGCTAAAGGATGCTAGCACAGGAAGGCTCCAGGCTCCAGGGCTACGGCTGACTATTGTTGCAGTGACCTCAGGGCAGACTTCTGTAGCTGGCTGCCTGCCCCCTTTGCCAGCATCCCCCAGCCTTGCACTGCTTATTCTTTCTGCTGCCTGTTACTAACACCGTAACCTGCCGGCCCACCCAAAAGTGCTGACGGCCAAGGCGAGCTGTCAGCACTGGCAGTGGTAGCAGCAATCAGAAATTGCCGACACAGCTTGTTTAGCGACTGACAGCCTGGGTGTCTCCAGAAGGAGGCTTGATCGGCTGTACGTGAGTGCAGAGATAGAGGAGTGAGCCACGGGGATGGATCTGACGGGAAACGACAGTCCGCCCAAGTCAGGGTGCCCAACAGCGCCACGTGCCTTCATCTCCACCTACCACTGCGGTAATGTGCGTTTTGCAGGCAGGAAACATTCATCAAGCAGTGTAGCAGGAAGAGCACTGGAGGCTCCAGATTCAAGACAGGAATTATGCTGTAGGCACCACTTACCTTATGGATCGCTGTTTAGGCCAAATCAATTCAAATCGGTGGCAACATTGTAGAAATTTCAAACTGTAGTGCAAATGGGTGGGACAGTCAGTGTCCATCACCGTCAAGCAGAATTCATCTTCCAGATTAAGTACAGAGAGACCTGGCAGGGGGACAAGGGGAGTGGAGTACATCAGCCAGAATAGGATTGATGCCTGGGACATTCCTGGTGGTGCCACACCTCAGAAAGGGGCCCCTGCAGGGAAGGAGATCCCCTAATATTTACTGAGGGCCCGATGATTTCCAGGGGATGGCTTTTCTCAGGCATTGTCTTACAGTAGCCCTGCAAGGTAAGGTTTACTTTCCCACCTTACAGATGAGGGACTGAGGCTCAGAGAGGTCAGTTACCTTATCCAAGGTCACAACAGCTGGTAGGTTACACTAAAATCGTGCTCCCTTTGGGGAGGCATCTTCAATAAGTGATTGGAAAGGATTGGAAAGGAGAGCTAAAAAGCAGGGCCTGGGGGAACGTGCTACAAACGGCAAGCTATCTCTTGGTTTTTTGGTTTTGGTTTTGTTTTGAAGCACCTCTGGGGAAAAATATTAAAACTTTTTTCAGCAGAAT